ATGAACGGAGGAAGGCAAAGGAGGCAGGCGGGACCGCATAGCGCACACCAGCCCATTTCGGCACACCTGTCACACGGATCGTGCTCCCCAAAGAGCACCGCCGACGGCCCCAGACAAACGCAGGGCTTGCATAGCCTTTGCTGGACGCCCCTCGCAGCACACGGATCGTGCCCCTCTGGGAGCCCCACTGACTGTGCCAGAGTCAAAGTTCGCACGGCGCCCCTCCGCCCATTTCGCCACACGTTTCACACATAACGTGCCCCACTGAGGGTTCCACGTGCAGCACCAATGGGGGGATTCGCATCGCGTTCCCCCACATGTCGACCCACCCCATCAGGCGGATCGTGCTCCACAGGAGCAACAAGCAGCCCCAGAGACAAGGTTCGCACCCGCTCCACCCATAGCGGGACATCCCTGGCGAGGATCGTTGCCTCAAGGGAGCTCCACCGACGGCCCCATAGAGAAGTTTCGCATGGCGCGCCCATTTCGGCACACCCCTCACACGGATCGCGCCCCGTAGAAAACCCCGCCGACGGCTCCAACAGGAGGGGTCGCATGGCGTCCCTCCGCATATTTCCCAACACCCCTGACGCGGATCGTACACCGCAGGGATCTACATCTATGGTACCCATGGGCAATTTCGCATCCCACGCCCGTTTCGGCGCCGCTACACGCGGAATGCGTTCCACCCACCTGCGGCCTCAGTGGGCGCGCTCGCGCGGCGGCCACCCTCTTCACGCGGATCGCGCTTCACAAGGAGCTCAGCGTGCTTACGCGCGCGAACTCCGCAGCAACCCCCTATCCAGTCTACCTCGCGACGCGCAGTATTTGAATGGAGATTGCCGCGCCCTGCGCTACACGCATCTTCGTAGGGTGGGTCCTTCGCCAGGCGACGTGATTTCTCTTCCCTCTTGCATGAACACAGACAGACAACAGTACATTAATGCATGTATACATGCGTCGAGCAGGCGTCGACCCAGGAACGGGCCTAGGTTGTGGACAAGTGGCCCCTCGTATATGCAGATGCCAGTTTCTTAGCAAGTCTCTCACAGGCCCTCCTGGGGCCTCATAGGGGTCTGAGTTTTGCGGGGGGCCCGTCTGGGCAGGCTTACGGGCCTCTTGGACCGTCTCGGGACCCTCTTGGGCAGTCTCGGGGCCATCTTGGGGGACCCTTGTGCCGTTCTGGGGCGGTTCTGGGGGCCTCTGAGGTCGTTAAGGACGGTACGAGGACCAGGAAAGCGAATATGCTAAACATATACGTTTTACACCAGAAATGGGGCGATGCTTGATCGTCGGGGCCCCCTTGGGGAACCTCTTGGAAGGGTCTTCAAGCGTCTTGGACGCCGCAGGGGCCGTTCGAGTGGCATCGGACACCCCTGGAGGCTGTCTTGCGGGTGGTTCGCGACTGTCTTGGGGCGCCGTGACGCCCGTCGGACCGCTCTAAAGGCGGGCCCGGCCGTCTATGTATCTGTATATATACATATATATATATGTATATATACACATATATATATACATATACATATATGTGTGTGCGTGTATATTTATATATATTTATGTACATGCATACATACATACATACATACATGCATACATACACATACACATACACATACACATACACATACACATACACATTCACATACCCATACCCATACACATACACATACACATACACATACACATACACATACACATACACATACACATACACATACACATACATATACATATACAAATACATACACACATACATATACATATACAAATACATACATACATACATACATACATACATACATACATACATACATACATACATACACACACACATACCTACCTACCTACATACATACATACATACATACATACATACATACATGCATGCATGCATACATACATACATACATACATATATGGTTGTATATATACAGATATACATATACATATATATATATATATATATATATATATATATATATATATATTCCGGACGAGGCTAGACGGGGAACCATCTGTGTAGACGAAACAGAATTCAAAACATGCATACAAGCCTCAAGAAGTCTGGGTTTGGCTGAGAGCGAGCGCGGCGAGACCCACCTCCCCTCGCAATCGCTTCCGCGGTCGCACCTCCTCCCACTTGATGGCATTAGGGGGAGGAGGGGGATCGTTTTGAAGGTACTCAAAGCCCTTCAGAATGGAGGATCGGTGGGGGGGCACCGTTGAGGGAAGCGCCCGATTCTTTGCAGGCTGGCTGGCTCGAGGCTGCGTCAGCCCCCGCTTCTGGGCGGCGCCTTTTAAGGCTCTGTCCTCAGCATCCGCGGCCTCAACTTCGTGAGGGGGCAACGGAGGGACAAGACCAGCCAGGAACAAGTCTCTGCACACTATGGACCGTCTGCCGCGGTACCGCGGGTCGATTGCGTGGGCCGGCAGACGTGGACGGGATGCGAACTTGAGCCGGCATACGGGGCACACGACTGAGGAGGGGAGAAATTGTAAAAGAGGGGACCGGATCTTGTGATTGGCCCTCCGGTGGCCGGCCCCCTTTGCGGGGCCATCAGGCTGCGAGCCTTAGGTTTGCTGCTCCGTGCCCCACTTCCAGTTTCCAGTGCTATTAGTGTCCGCACGAGGGCGGGGAGCCGAAAAGGGCCCTGGTTAGCATCCCCCAGGAGGGTTCTGAGAATTTCCGGCGGCCTTGAAATACATAAAAATACATGAGGTTCGCGCCTCCGAGGTCACGATCCCTCGTAAATTACATTGTATTCGCGCCCCCGAGGCCAAGATCCCTCGTACATTATATTGGATTCGCGTCCCTGAAGCCACGATCCCCTGTAAAATACACCATATTCGCGCTCCTGAGGTCACGATCCCACAACATTCGCGCTCCCGAAGCCACAACATCTCATAAATTACACCGCATCCGCGCCTCCAAGACCACGATCCCCCGTAAATTACGACACAATCGTGCTTCTGGCTACGAACCCCCGTAAATCACACCACACTCGCGCCCCCGAGGCCGCGATCCCCCGTAAACCACACCACATTCGCACCCCCGAGGCCACTCTCCGATAAGAGTCCCCAAGAGGGACCCAAGACGCGCCCAAGAGGCCGCCAAGAAATCCCAAAAATATCCAAGAGGCCCCCAAGAGGCGCCCAAACCGCCTCCAAGAAGCCCCCGAGAGGCTCCCCGCGACACCCCAACACATATATAAGAGGCCTCAGACCCACAACCCAGACACGGTGGCGGGATGGGCCGAAGGCCATTACGATCCGCCGCCCCCTGTTAAATTATCACAGGGGTGCCTGGCGTGCTGGATCCTTTCGGTTTTGGTTTTGGTTCTTTTTCCAGAAGAACTTCCCCTGGGGCTTCGGCCCGTCCCGCCGGCCACCCGAAAGGGATCTCAATCCCGGAAAAATCCTCCAAGACGGCTCAAGATGGCCTCCAAGATGGCCACGTTGGCCCAAGATGGTCTCCAAGATGGTCCAAGTTGCCCCCCAAGTCCGCCCAAGATGGTCCAAGACGGCCTCCGAGACGGCCCAAGAGAGTCCAAGGTACCTCCAAGTTCGCCCAAGAAGCCTCCAAGACGGCCCAACACGACCCAAGAGGCCTCCAAAAGGTCCTCCAGGAGGGCCCTAAGAGGCCAAAATCTGTTGTTTCCCGTAGGTTTTTGAAAACACATGCATGTGCTTCTTCTCGGCATTCCGACGGCTCAAGACGGCTCAAGAGGCCCCCAAGAGCGCCCACGAGGCCTCCAAGATGGCCCCATGACGGCCCAAGAGGCCCCCAAGACGGCCTCAAGAGGGCCCAAGAGGCCTCCAAGACGGCCAAAATGGCCTCCAAGACGGCTAAGATGACCCCAAAATGCCTCCAAGACGGCCCAAGATGCACCCAAGACGGCCTAAGATGGTCTCAAGATGGCCCAAGACGGCCCAAGAGGCTCACAAGAGGCCTCCAAGACGGCCCAAAAGGCGTCCAGGAGGTCTTCCAGGAGGGCACAAAGAGGCCAACATCAGTGGTTGTCTCTAGGTTTTTGAAAAAGAACGCATGTGCTTCTTCTCGGCATTCCGACGGCTCAAGACAGCGCAAGAGGCCCCCAAGATCGCCCAAGAGGCCTCCAAAATGGCCTCATGACGGCCCAACAGGCTCCCAAGACGGCCCCGAGAGGGCCCAAAAACGGCCCAAGGGGCCTCCAAGACGCCCAAGATGGCCTCTAAGAACCCCTGAGATGCCCCAAGAGGGCCCCAAGACGACCCAGACAGGCCTCCAAGACGGCTTCCGACGGCGTCAGACAAGCCAGGAACGCCCTAAGACGGCCAAAGAGGCCCCCACGAAGCCCCCAAAGGCCCCCCAAAACCCTCCAAGAGGCCCCCAGGAAGCTCCCAGGAGGCCCCAAGAGGCGCCCAAGAGGCCTCCTCCTCCTCCTCCTCCTCCTCCTCCTCCTCCTCCTCCTCCTCCTCCTCCTCCTCCTCCTCTGGTTTCCTCATCCTCCCCCTCCTCCTCTTCTTGCTCCCCCATGCGCTCCCCGAAGTCTTTCCAAACCGATTCGGGGAACAACTGGCCCGATAGCTCGGCCAAGCTCTGGCCCAGCTGTCTGTCGGCCACAGAGGCGCTTCCAAAGGGGCAGGGGGCGGCGGTGTTTCGCCGTATGCGTCTTCGACAACGCCAACATTTCAATATGCGCTGATGATTCCTATCCGCTCCCGCATGCTGTTTACCAGATGCGCCAAGGTAGCGCCGAGATGCTACGACGCGGCTCTGTGATATCTCATTGTGATAGAGAGGGGGCCGGCGGCAGGGGGCGAAGCCCTTACGGATATATATATATATATATATATATATATATATACATATATATATATATATACACATATATACATACATTTATACAAACCTATACGTACACATATAATGCATGTGTATGTTTGCACTGTTAAACATCGATACACACACATATATATATATATGAATAAACAAATTGCGAGGTGGCCCCTGGCTCAGCCTGATCCTTGAAGCCGCGCGACAACATCTCGTCCGCCTCGTCGAGGACGAACGTGATCAGGTCGTCAACCCGCAGGTACCGCTTTCCTGTGAACCCCAGCTCGCAAGCCACCCTCGCCCATTGCTTTCCTCAAGCCAAAGGGGGTGAGGACACTAGCTTGCACATAGTGCGCACATACAGATGTACTAGAACCATCGCACGCGCTTCGGTCGCGCTCAAATTCTCCGCCACCGTGCCCTCGAGGCGGGAATCGGAATATCCTCAGGTCCCTTGCTCATTTCCCTGGAGGCTCGGCCCTCGATGCTGAGAATTCTTTTAGGATCCGGACCCCAAATTCTTAAATCTCTCGGGGCTTGTCGCGCAGCTCCCGGGGCTTGTCGCACGACTTGGTCGGGCCCACTAGGCCACCAAGACGAGTCAAGAGTGCCCCAAGGGGCCCTAGATGGCCCAAGAGGGCGCCGAATCACTGAACGATCGGTCCATGACGCCAAAGATGGCATCCAGTCGACCGACAAAAAAGCACCCAAGACGTCCCAAGAGGTCTGCAATTTGTCCGCTCCCAACAGGGCCCTGAGAGGGCAACATCCGTGTTTTTGTTCTACATATTTTCAATGTTTGGGGCTTTTGTCTAGTTTCCAACAATCAAGACGTCCAAAGAAGCCCCAAAGATGCCCCAAGACGGGCTCAGAGGACCCCAGGAGAGCCCCAAGACGGCCTAAGAGGGCCCCAAGACGGCCCAAGAGGCGCCCAAGACGGCCCAAGAGGCGCCCAAGACGGCGCCAAGAGGGAGAGGGGGAACACAAACTGAAAATCCGAGCCTTCCGCCCCAATATGCGTCCAGGAGGCCCCAAGTAACCCCCGAGAGGCCCCGAGAGGCCCCAGGAGGCAGCTTGGGCTCCCAAGAGGCCCCCAAGAGGGCCCCACGAGGCCCACTAGAGGCTTCAAAACCGCCTCCAGGAGGCCCCCGAGAGGCTTCGACGAGATCCCAACGAACATCCAAGAGGCCTCCGACCTACAACCCAAAGGTGCGGTGGCGGGATGGGCCGAAAATCAGTAGATATGAGCCGGCACGGGAACGCAAAGAGCGCCGCCGGAACTGGCCCGAGATGGCTCATGGCACCCTTCGCTCTTGGGAGCCTTGGTGTTCAAAGCCTGTTGCGTCACCGCTCTCTGTTGGGAGCCCTGGTGTTTAGAGACTTTTACGTTGCCGCTCGCTCTTGGGTGCCTTGCTGTTGAGAACCTTGTACGTCACCGCGCTCTGGGCTGGAAGCCTTGTTGTTCAGAGCTTGTTACGTCAGTGTTCGCCGTTGGGAGTCACGGTGTTCTCTGGCGTTTCTGGGGCTTCTTGGGAGTCTTCTGGGGGCCCTCTTGAGGGCCGTTCTGGTACTCTTGGGCCGTCTTGGGTTGGGGCCAGCCCAGTCCCCACACCCAAGCAGCCCAGTCCCCACACCGCCTTTTTCGCGCCCTCCTGGGAGCCTCTTGGGTCCCTCTTGGGGCTCTCTTGAAGGCGTCTTGGGGCCCTCTTGGGCCTTTTGGGGGGGGCCCTCTTGTGCCGTCTGGGGGCCCTCTTGGATCGTTTTCTGCCCTCTCGGGGCGTCTTGGGACGATCTTGAGGGCCGTTTGGGACGTCGTGGGCCTTGCTGGGCTCGAAAAGGCGAGAACCCGAGAAACCTCCCAAAAACTACGGAAAACAAATGTTTATGGCCTCCTGAGGCCCTCTCGGGGGCCCTCTGGAGGGCCTATGGAGCCGTCTTGAAACCCTCTTGGACTGTCTGGAGACCATCTGAGGCTCTTTTGGGGCAGTACTTGGGCCGTTTGGGAGCCCTCTTGGAACGTCTTGGGACCCTTGAGCCGCTTCACTCGACAAAATAGTAAGAAACGGGCCTTGGAAGGCGCCCGGGGACCGCTTCACTCCCCCCCCCAAAAAAAACGAGGGAAGCGGCCCCCGGGCGGCCATTACACCCATGCTCACCCCCCTCGCCCCTCCCCTGGACCCCTCCCTAGAAGGCTTCGTCCCAACTCAACGTACATCACTCGTACCTCGCTCTTGCGTCACCTGCTTGGCACGGGGAAGGAAAGCGCAACTTACTTTGTGATGGCCCGAGATCGCTAGCTTGCCCATTATTCCTCCTCATACGTTCTCTTCCCCTCGCAGTTGTCGCATCCTTGGGGGGTCGTGGGGCACTCTTGGGCCGTCTTTGGAGACTATCGGGCTGTCTTCGGGCCCTCTTGAGCCGTCCGTAGGCCGTTCAAGAGAGATTGCGAGAAGATGTTTAAATCATCCTTCTCAACCTGCGAAATAGGAGATGTATCATTGGATTCACGATATACACGGCGCTGCCGTTTTAACCCGCCTGGCCATTTCAACCCGCCTGGCCTTTTCAACCCGACTGGGCCATTGAACCCGCCTGGTCGGTTTGACTAGATCACCCGATCCCGGCTGCGGTTTGCCCCATTGGCGCGCGAGACTTTTAGACGGCCCCAGGATGCTTCAAGACCATTCCACGTATGTTGCACAGTCGCATTTTCCACGTGGAGAGGGCGTATACAAAACCATCGCACCCGTTTTGTATAGCGGCGATGTTCCAAAGGACGCTCAGATCATTTAGACGGCCCTGGGATGCTTCAAGACCATCCCACATATGCTGCTCAGTGGCGTGTGTTTTCCTCCCATGGTGAGCGCATCACAAACCATCCCACTTATTTTGTATATCGGGGTGTTTCCCACGGCCCCGGGATGCTCCAAAACCATCCCACCTGTTTTGTATAGTGGCGTCTCTCCCGTGGGGAGGCGCATCCAAAACCATTCCACTCATTGTGTTTGAAGGCATGTGTTCCATGGACCCGCATATCTGTTAGACGGTCCTGGGATGTTTCAAGACCATCCTAATCATGTGTATAGTGAAGTGTTTGCCATGGGGGGCGTATGCAAAACCATCCCACTTATTGTGTACCGTTGCGTTGTTTCCCATTGGCGCGCGCATCTGTTAGACAGACTGGGATGTTTTAAGACCGTCCCACTTATGTTACATGGTTGGGTTTGCACAAGGGAAGCGTATCCGCACCCCTCCCACCTATTTTGTATGGTTGCATGTTGTCCCATGGGCCCGCATATATTTTAGACGGTCCTGGGATGCTTCACGATCCACTGATTTTGTAGAGTGGAATTCTTCTAGTTGTGTAATGCGCCTGGCCGTTTTAGACCGCCTGGCCGTTTCTACCCGACTGGCCGTTTCATCCGCTTGACGTTTGAACCCGCTTGTCCCCGGTAATCCGCCTAGTCGTTCGAACCCGCATGGTCACTTCAACTGTCTGGCCGCGCTGGCATCCTCGGCCGCTTCAACCTGCCCGGCCGTAAGCAACGTGGCCGTTTTGGCCCGCCTGGCCGTTTTGAGCCGCCTGGCCGTTGGAGCTGGCCTGGCCGTGTTAGCCCAGCTGTTCATGTTAACGTGGCTGGCCGTCCGAGTCCAATTGGCCGCTGTAACCAGCCAGGCCGTGCTGACCCGCCGCCCGGCCCGCCTCGCGGGCCGTCTTGGAGCGAGTCCAGGGCGACGTCGACGACGTCTCAGGCGTGTGAGGATGTCCCTGGCGAAATCGCCGTGCTGGGCAAGAGCGGGACCAAGACGATGTCAAACACATCTCGTGGTGTGAGGATGTCCCTAGCGAAATCGAAGACGGAGACGAAGACAACGTCGACGGCATCTCATTGTTGCGAGGGCGTCCGCAGCAAAATCGTTTTTTGGGGCAAGAGCGATGTCTACAACATTTCATGTGTGTGACCTGGGCGAAATCGCCATGTTGGCCAAGACCGAGACCAAGACAATGTGGACGGCATGGCATTGTTGTGAGGATGTCCTTAGAGCAATCACCATGGTTGGTCAGAACGATGCCGACAACATCCCATTGTTGTGAGGATGTCCCAAGCGAAATCGTCCAATGGAGCGGAAGTCGAGCGTCTTAGAACCATATTGTTAGGCTGTGTTGGACCGTCTTGATGCCTTCCGAGCGCGATCCGACGAGAGGACAGTTTTCTGACGATGTCCCTAGAGAGCTCCCCATTTCGGCCATTAAAGCACTGGGAATACACATGCCAACCTCCTCAAACTCCCCCTAGCTCAATTTCCTCCGGCTAGCGGATCGCACGCTCAGTGCGCTTTCCGTAACTACGCCCCTAGCGACTGTCACAATTGGTGGGGGAGGGGCGGGGCCAGGATATACAGGAACTGCGGGTTTCAAAGCCCAAGGGTTCGCGGCTGAAGACGCGATCATGGGCTCGGGTAAGGTAAGGGGTGCACAACTACACATGAGTGCGCAGCACACGTGTGAGCGTATACGATCACCCACTGTTGCGACATCCCCCCCCCGCGCTCTCCACCAGCCGAGGGTAGGGGTTGAGGGAGGAGGGTGGCAGGGGCAAGGAGGAGGGCGTAAAGAAGTATCAGGGCGGGGCAAGGAGGAGGGCGTAAAGAAGTATCAGGGCGGATGAGGATGAGGGCGGCAGGAGGCGGGGCAAGGAGGAGGGGAGGCGGGGCTAGGAAGAGGGCGTAAAGAAGTATCAGGGCGGATGAGGATGAGGGCGGCAGGAAAGAAGTGCACGCGGGTGGGCAAGTGGGCGGCTTCTCCTCCTCCTCCTCCTCCTCCTCCTCCTCCTCCTCCTCCTCCTCCTCCTCCTCCTCCAGTTCCTCGTCCTCTTCCAACTCCTACCCCTCCTACGCAATCATCATCCGTCGCGGGGCTCTCGCGCGGCCTTCTCTGGGCTGCCTTGGGGCCCTGTGGGCACTCTTGGTGTCCTCTTATGGCATCTTGGGGCCACTTTGGGGTCCGATTGCGCTCCTGTGGGGCCGACCTGGAGCCTTCTTGGGACATCTCGGGACGTTTCTGGGCCGTCTTGCACCGTCTTGGGACCTTCGAAATGCCCTCTTGGGGAAGTCATCGGCCCTCTAGGAACCCTCTTGGTGCCCTCTTGGAGCTCTTGTGTACACTGTGCGGCTCATCTGAGGCCCTCCGGGGGCCCTGTTTACTAGAGAAGAGACATGCGTGAAATAGCTCGAACAAAACATGAGAAACCTAACGAGGCCCGACGGTTTCACCGACTCGGGGTGGTCCGGCGGTCCTCTTGGAATCCTCTTGTGATCTCTCTGGGCCCTCTTGGAGGGGTCTTGGAGCCTCTGGGCCCCTCTGGTGCTCTGTTGGACCCGTTTGGGAGACCTCCTGGCACATCTGAGGCACGCGCGCACGCTTGCTGTGAGAGACGGACCGCGGCGGACACCGGTTCAGCCCGCGGGAACGCAGGCCCCACGCGAAGGGGCACACCACGCGCGCGCCGGGCACCCAGCGGCAACCTAACGATCGGCCCTACCTGCCCGAGAGCAACGCTGGTCCCTCGCGCTCCTCGGTGCGCAAAGCCGCACCGCCCTTCGGGGGCGCCCTCCCTCTGACAGCCCGCGGGAAAGCCAGCAGAGAGGGCCCACATTGCTCAAGGACAATTACGGGTGGCCTGCCTCCCTATTCTTCCTGGTCGGGCTGCACTGTCGGGAGCGACCCCTACAGCATGACAAGGGAGATGGAGTGCTGGCACTCCGACTCATGTCAACCTCAGCTAACTTGAGCAGGGACCGACCGTCCCAGCATTCCTATAGTCCTACCACCAAATGTTCTTAGAACCCAAAATGTTCTAAGAACAAAACCTTGTTCTTAGAACATAATCCCGATGTGATAAAAACAGGACAGTCCCAGCCAGAAATGTTCTAAGAACATTTCGTGGAAACCATAAAAGGTTCTTAGAACATTGTTTAGTAGGGCTATATAGGCGAGCCAGGACGCTTCGCCACTGCTTGACTTTTCTGCGTTCACGATCGCTGTGACTAACTTTGGCGCGCCCGGCCTGGGGACGGCATCAGTGGGAGTGACGCCCAGCGGAAACTGTTGTCCGAAAGTCCCTGCGGCCCCGTCGGGCACACGACGCCAGATTCCAGACGGTGCACGCTGGCCTGGACAGCGAGCCCTGTCCATCATGAACAGGCAATGGGTGTCAGTCATCTTCCCCATTGGTTTCGTCCCCATGTCGGCCCTCTCGAGAACTCTTGCCGATCGAACTCGGCCCTGCCCAGTCCCTCCGATCATATCGAACACGCGGCCAGGGGTGCCCACGATAATGTGCTGCCCGTCGCGCAGCTTGTCCATGTCGTCGCGCACCGACGTGCCGCCGATGCAGGCGTGGCACCTCACTGGGGTCGTGCGAGCAAACAGAATAGCAGTGCAGTAGTGGCCTGTCTGTCATCCCTTCCCCACCCTCCTATCGTGTTGTTTTGAAAACTATCTCCTCCCTCGCTGCCATCCATTGCCGCCCTCCTCCCCTTCAACGTTCCCTGCTCCATTCCTCCCGTCCTCCTTCCTACCCTCCTCGCCTCAACATGTCGCTCCTGCCCGTCCCCCTTCAACATAGTAAGAACCCGCGTGTGCGTGACGCAGCCGCGCAGGCAACAACAACGGCGGCGACGGCATCATCCGCAGCGGTCGCAGGCTACTGTCTGGCTGACCTCTCATTGCATCTCCCAGTCGTTACCTTCTCTCGCCTTGTCCTCATCCTCATCTCCCCTCTTCCTCCACCTCCTCCTACTCCGCGTCCTCGTCCTCCTCGTCCCTCCTCGTCACCACGCATTTCCTCATTCCCATTACACCCTTCCCCCCCGTCGTCGTCCTCCTCGTCCCTTCTTGTCCTCCTACTTACGCAGGACGAGTCGATGAGGAGTTCGCGGAATATCACCGGCGCCGCCGAACGGACGGCGTCTGGACGATCTGCGTGCAACAATCGGGAGGAGACGGCGGTTATCATATACGCGCCCGCTCAAGACTTCAATCAGTCGTTCCGGGCACAAGAGGAAAACATTTTCGTGCTGGGGATGGGCGATTTGGCCTTCGGACTTGCCGGTTACCACGTAGCCGTCACACCACATCACACCAGAATGTCCCCGCCATGAGCAGTCAGGAGCTCGCGTTCGAGACGTCTTCGCAAACAACAGAGAATAGAAAAACCGTGTTTTTGACGGGAAGTCCCGTTCGAGACGTCCACAACGCAGCAGGGGTCCTTCATGCCCGCGCTCTTTTATACGTGGGAGGGCAGAAACGAGGACGAGGAGCCGGCAGTCCGTCGAATCAGGAGACGCAGGGCCGAAACGCACTTACGCAGGACGAAAGATTTTCCTCTTGAGGTGAACATGTCGATGAGGAGTTCGCGGGATAACACCGGCACCGCCGAACGAACGGCGTGTGGACGATCTGCGTGCAACAATCGGGAGGAGACGGCGGTTATCCCATACGCGTCAGTTCAAGACTTCAAACCATCGTTCCGGGCCCAAGAGGAAAAAACTTTCGTCCTGGGGATGTATTCCCCTTTTTCCTCCTCCACCTGCTCCTCCTCCTCCTCCTTGACCCCCTCCTCCTCCTCCTCTTCCTCCTCCTCCCGCTCCTCCCCACCACAACCATCACCATCATCACCATCATCAGATTGTCCTCATCATCCCTTCGCCTTTCCGTGCCAAAACTCCTCATCGTCAGCCTATTCCCCTCGCCCTGACATGAACAAGTTTGTAATGGTGCTGCCCACGCCGCGGTTGCTCCCCTTCTTGCCGCCGCGGCTGCTGCTGAGGGTCGAAGCTGCTGGAAGGTGTTTATTGTTTTTGGTGGGTCCCACAATCACAGCGGATGCCGATAATGATATTTCAAATCTAGCTCCTAAGGTTCCCTCGTGCCCACGTAAGGACAGCCTCAGGCAGTGCATATCCAAATCCCGCACCCAAGATGCACCCAAGAACGTCCCAAGACGTCCCAAAAAGGCCCCGAGGGGACCCCTAAACAGGGCCCGAGATGAGCCCAAGACAGCTGCAGAGGGCCCTAGGACGCCCAAAGAGCGCCCCTTGAGGGCCTCAAGCTGGCCCAAGAAGGTTCCAAGACAGTCCAAGAGAGGCCCAACACGGTTCCAGCCCAATGGACCTCCAAGATTGGCCCGAACATCCTAAATTGGCCGGAGAGGGCCGCAAGAATCCGCCGACCCTGTCGGCGTGTGGAAGAGGCTTCTCCGTCTGTTCCCTCGTCGTCGTCGTCGTCGTCGTCGTCGTCGTTCCTTCCCCTTTCCCCACAGCGTCGTTGCTTCTACCCCTCTCCCAGGGCCTCCTCCTGAAGCGTGCCAGTCCAAAGCGAAATTGAGCAACGTCGTAATTGAGTCGAAGGGAAGCCCCTTCCCTTTGATTCCTTCCCCGCCCGGGGGGGGGGGGGTCCCGGAGTGGGTCCCGGGGGGGGTCCCGGGTGTTTACGCCGCCCCCCCGGGGAATCCCGGAGCCCCAAAAAGCCACAAGACGGGCCAAGAGTGCCCCAAGAGGCCCCCAAGACGATCCAAGAGGGCCCCGAATCGCCGAATGATCTGTCCAAGACGCCTTGACGGCCTCCAGACGGCCCAAGAGGCCTGCGAGACGCCCCAAGAGGCCTCCAGGACCGTTCCCACGAGAGCCCCAAGAGGCAAAAAGCATGGATGTCCCATACGTTTTTCAAAAATTTTGGCGTTCTCGCCTCTTCCGCTTCCCCACGCGCCAAGACGGCCCAAGAGGCCCCCAAAGTCGCCCCGAGACGGCCCAAGAGGCCTCCAAGAGAGTCCCCAAACGGCCCAAGAGTGCCCCAAGACGGCCCAAGACGCCTCCAAGACGGCACAAGAGGCCCCCAAGACGGTTCCAAGAGAGTGCCCAGACGGGGGACCCGAACGGACATTTCGAGCCCTCAGCCCCGAGAGGCCCCCAAGAGGCCCCCAGGAAGCCCAAAAAGGCCCCAAGAGGCTCCCAAGAGGCCCCCAAACATCCCCTCAGAGGCCCCCGAGAGCGCTCGGAAGAAACCCCAAGAAGCACGTTTGAGGACTCAACCCACGTCAGCATCGTCGTCGTCGCTACCGCCGCCGCCGCCGCCGTCGTTCCCCTTCAGGGTCGACGGCACCGGCCGTAAGGCCTTCGCAATACATGTCACGAAACGCCAGAGAAGACCCTAAAATGACCCCAAGACGTCTCCAGGAAGCCCCTAAGAAGCCGTCCCAGGTACCCCAAGAGGCCTCCACGAGAGACCCCGAGAGGCCTACAAGAGGCCCCTGGTCCCCGATCCATGCAAAGTGGTGGGATGGGTCGAAGGTCACTAGATACTGCATCCGCCGCCACCTCAGGTGGCCCCCACAGGCCCGCAGAAGAGGCGTATGAAAAACAAATATCTTACGAAGCTACTTCACATGATGTTGGCTGGCTGGGCGGCTATGTCGAATAGGAGCTGTTGTAAGCCAAACGCATGAAGATTGTAAGAAGAACTGTTGGCGTGCGAGGTGTTCGGGACACTCCTTAAAGTTCCCGATTGCCTCCGGCACCGCCAGCCAGCCACCGGGAAGGCACCCCTGTGAGAATCGAACCTTCTGACCGGGGTCAATCCAGACCCGGGCTTGACGAGCCTCGCAGGATCCTGCGAGATCCTGCGCCCGAACCCGGGTCACCGGATCCTGCACGATCCCGCAGGATCCTGCTCCCAAACCCGGGCCAGTGCGCCCCTGGCCCTGCAGGATCCTGCAAAGTCGGGCGCTCTGGCTGACCCCCGCTTTGCACTGACCCCCGCCTCGAGGCTCCCGGGCAGGGGCGGCGGGCGCTGCCGGGCAGGCAGGCGGAGGAGAGGCCGCCGGCCCAGGCTCCACCCCGCGCAGCCGACGGCACGCCAGGGTCTTAAGCCTGGGAAGGCTTGTGGCAGGAGCCGGCGGAAGTCACTTTCACCGACTGCTGCCACTGCGTTGGTCATTTTTCTGACACTGCCACTTTGAGTGGCAATGTGAGAACAAAGAAAAAAACTGCATAAACATAAACTTTTGGCGCTCCGCGCGGAGTTCTTGGATCTGCGCCGGACCCCCCTCCCTGGCGCGCGGAACGCGCCAGGAGCGGCGCCGGAGGCGGCGCCGGGGGGGCCCCGCGCGGGTCCAAGAAATCCGCGCGGAGCGGCAGAAGTTTTTGTGTATGGCGTTTGTTGTTCTTCGAAGTGTTGGCTTTGACCCCATATTGCCGACGCGAGTAGTGGGGGGGGGGGGCTGCCTCCACAAAAGTGTTTCCGCCCTTGTCTGCCGGCACGAGCGGGAGGGGTCCTGCACCGATCAGCCACGCCCCTCACCTGGCATCCTGATGGGCGGCCCTCGCACCTCACACGAATGAGCAGTACAGACGTACCAGAACAGTCTACAGCCATGGCGCCATGACCCGGACTGTCCTGATGTCTAGCATGCAATGTACTGTCGTGTGGGCAACGACCAGGGCTTGGAAGGGCCTGGCCTCGATGGCCCCTAAGGTGGCACAACTCCAGACACTTCCCCATCGCTCCCAGCGGCGGCCGACACTTTGAGCACGATTCGAGAGAGGGGCCACACGCTCCACTCCAGACAGACCAACACTGGGCCAATGGAAAAGAACGCAGGCAGCTAAGTTTAATAGCAGCACGGGCATATTTGGCGAGAGCGCCGATATCCTGCAGCAAGCCAGAACGACCAGGGTAAATGGAACCAGAGCGTTTGGCATCCGCATCGGCATGGCGGTTGCCACTCCTACGCCCACGACATTCTCACAGCCCGAGTGAACGTGACACTCAGAAGGGGAAGCGGCCAGAAAGTTAGCCCAAGCGCAAGCACTGGACTCAGCACTCTGAATTCAGACACCAGCTCCCTCTAAGAATCGAACCCACAAACACAACAACTGGCCCGACAGGACCCGCCAACACATAAAGAGCCCCACATGCGATGGATCACTGGCTCCCCTGAAGGAGCCTGGCCGGGACACTTTTGCCACGCGAAACATGGGCCATCAGCGGCTTCAGTCAAGGCCCCCAGGTAGGCGTCGGCGGGGCACCGATAAGCTGCAGACATACCAGAAGGGAAGAGGGCCTCGTAGTCCCGCGATGCCTTGGCAGCAAGGGCCGAGTCGACAATGCGTTGATGCATTGCGCTCGCTCTGCCCTCCGCAACAATCTCGCGGGGGCACCCAAGCCCGCGAAGGACCGCGTCGCGAGCGCCGCAATGCGCACAGCCAGGGGAGACAACATCGCCGAGCTCGTCCGCTCTGGCCGCAATGAGCAAGGCCCCCGTCGCAAGAGCGCGAGCCCGAGCCTTCCGAGGGCCGAGAACTCGTCGGGACGAGGGGCCACCGCTTCCCTCGCCACATCGCACCT